TAGAATAACTATGGGTGTAAATTTATTTATATGATACTATTATTAGTAATATATATCTGCAAAAACATTTTAAGAATCCTAATCTAAGATAAATTAGTAGAAAGGTATATAAGAGGGTAGAAACTATATCAAAGGAGGTGAGTTATAATTTTAAACGTTTAGGGTTATGGATTTGGAAGTTTAGCAAGATTGTAATGATAGATCTTTAATGTGCCTACAAACAACGCTGCTTTCAAATCTTTGATTTAATAATTGACTGTTGTTCAAAAATTTAATAATACATATTTTGCTTGCAAACATAAAAAAACAAGATTTGCAATTTCTGGCTTGTTTTAGGATTTTCCATTTAACCTTAGGTGTTTTTGCTTTCCTCTTTCAGTTTCCAAAAGTATTTAAAAAGTGATGTCATATTCCGTTTGCTTCTATTAGTAAAGAGAATATGTGATTGTAATATCGATCCTTAAAAGGTCTTCCAGTGGATCCCACATACAATCTAATATCCTGAGATATAGCACATATATACAGATTGGGACACAAAGTTTTAAATCTAATTAACAAACACTTTCCTACAAATAGTAAATTAAGTCAAATCTTTAACCGCAATACGTTAAAAATTAGTTATAGCTGTTCTAGAAATCTAGATAAAATTATTAAATCACACAGCAATAGAATACTGAAACTTTATAACGAGAATAAATGCAACCTAAACACAAATTGTTATATACCCCAGGTAACCGAACTATGCAATTGCAGAATCCCCGATCAATGTCCATTATCAAACAGGTGCCTAACGAAATCCATTGTATATATGTGCTATATCTCATCAAATGAGAACTCCAAGGATATTAGATTGTATGTGGGATCCACTAGAAGACATTTTAAGGATCGATATTACAATTACATAGTCTCTTTTAATAATACAAGCAAATGCAATATGCCATCACTTTCTAAATACTTTTGGAAACTGAAGCTCTCATCATTTTACAGTTGAAATGGCTTGATGTAAACATAAGTTCTATGCTAATAGTTTCTTTTCTCACACTTGTGGAATTCTATTCCCAGTCAACACTTTGATCTTTAAAAATTTAATTGTGACATCATATAAGTTGATAAATAAAAATAATACAGAAAGGAGAATAAATATAGTATCTCCTAACATTGTTGGTAATGAAAATATTAAACAAAACATTCATTCAGATATTGCCTAACTGATGATTACAAAGAGCATATATTTTTTTTATTTTTTGAAACATCCTGACGAATAAAATATTAATTAGTATAGTTTTAGTACTAAGCATTTAATTCTAAATTATTTCTGTAACTATTTGTAGTACGTATTTTTTTTTTTATTTAATATAGGTACCAGTATATAAATATGCTTTTTAAGAATAAAAAATAGTGATCTACAGTAATCTATTTAAAGTCTTTAAACTTGATTGTTTGAGAGAAATACTGCTTATTCCTGGTTGGGAGACGCTCACATACAACAAATAAAATACTAAACCTGAATTAATGCTTTGGAATTTTAATGGTTAATTTATATGCTGGCAAATATAGTAATATTTTTGGTTAATAGACAAAGTTCATAAATTTAGTTTACTAAAAGGAAATTGATAAATAGTATATGTTACCTAAAGGTAACTAGTAATTGATCAAAGCAAAGTTATTCAACTCTTTATTGTATTTTACAAGCTCTTATACTGAATCAACCATTTGTTGCCTTTTACAAACTTTGGTTATAGCCAAGAATTTTGGAAAGAGTAAAGAGTGAAAAATAAAAAATATAGAATGAGTATAAAATGCTGCTTTCACTTTGCAAAAAAAATGCCAACGTACAAAATAAAATGCTTATTAGAATAAAAGTGCAGATTTACCAAAACAAAAGGGATTGATGAAGAAGTGAATTTATCAACAAAAGTCATAAGACCATTATTTACAAATACAGGGTGTGGCAGAAATACCTCCCACATAATGGTAAGACAACTAGATGAAGACAACATTGTTATTAATGTCCTACCAAACTGCGACACACTATATTGTATTTTACAAGCTTAGTCCTTTTGAAAAAGTAGATTTGTATTCTGGCACCTAAATTAAATAAATAGGTTCTAAAAAATAGTTTTTGACTCTTTACTCTTTCCAAAATTCTCGGCTGTAACCAAAGTTTGTAAAAGGTAACAAATGGTTGATTCAATAATATCTTTGTAGTGAATAAATTGTTTTTGTCTATATGAAAAAAATTATAATAAATAATTATTGCTTTAATATTATTGAATCAACCATTTGTTGCCTTTTACAAACTTTGGTTATAGCCAAGAATTTTGGAAAGAGTAAAAAGTTAAAAACTATTTTTTAGAACCTATTTCCTTTATTTAATTTAGGTGCCAACATATAAATATACTTCTTAATAGGGACCTCCACAAAAAACAAAATCAAAAGAAGAAAAAAAAAAACGCGATACCTAAGGATTAAAGTGAGCTCGTAGAACTCTCTTCCGGCTTGTTGCTTCTCAATCAACTTTGATCTTCAAAAAGTTAAATACAATATCAATCGTTATCTTCTGTCTCCTTAATCCCTGTTCTTTAATTATCCTCTCTCCTCAATAGTGTTTTTCTCATATTTCTCACAACTAGTAACCCGTTGTGGCTTTATTGCCGTGCTTGGGGTGTGATGATTAAAAAAGAAATATCAAAGTCGAATACTTTAGTACACTGGCCAGCAAACGCCCCCGTAAGAAATTTCTCGAACATAGCGGATGTTCAATTCCTATTCGTTGTCCGCTTATTGGACCGTGTGTCGTCATGGTTAGTATTTGTTTGCTATTCCAGATGGTAACAAAAACTACTCAGGATTGATAATTTATTACCAGGAATGATTGTTGCACAAGGCGCCCAGGAGAGCACTAAATTCTGGAGCGCCCATTTCAACGACTTAGAGCAATTTGGTGGCAATCGTAAAACAGGCAATCATGTTCGGTGGAGGCTGTGATGACAGGAGACGAATTCAACAGGCAGCTGTTTGTAGGAGTACAGCCAGATTCAGTAAACCAAAACGAACATCTACAGTTTGTAATTATACAAACATATCTCCTTGCCTGATAAAAGCGATACAATGTAGGGTAATTACAAGCAATAGCAATAAAAGCGAGTAAAAGCCTAAAATGATACAGGATGAGCCTAAAAGTTCGATGTTTTATATTATTGTTCGACCAATACAAAGCACACATCGACTCAAGCTAGGGATTTACAGATTAAGGTTGTTATAAGAATTCAAAAGCTGGAAGAAAAAAGTTAAATCGTTATCTTTTGTCAACTTAATTCCTGTTCTTAAGAGATTTGAATTAATAAAAAATATTATATATGTTATTCTGCTTTCACAATGGAGTAAATGGTAGATGATACTCAACTTGTGGACATCATTTCTAAAGGCAGTGATATGCGGGTTTTATGTTGAAGTTATATTTTGGAATACA